AAAGCTTGAGCCACGGCCGCTGCGCGCGAACCGCTGTTGCGACGCCCTGCTCCAGCTAGGTGGCAGCCGCGCGCGTGTCACCACCGGCCGCCCTGCTCCGCCACAGCTAGCCGCCGCCGGCCACCCTGCACGCGCCGCCGTCGCCCGCCCAGCGTAAGCCACACCGGGCCAACACGCGCGAGCCGCCCTACTCCGCCGCCGCCGTCGTGGTTTTGGTCAAGAAGCAAAAGGAAGAAGGAGAGAAGCTTGCAGCACATGGGCTTGGCTGGCTTCCACACAGCGAAAAGATGAGAGATAGAGAAGCCCCGAGAAAAACGGATAAGACAGGAGGAGTCATTGGAACAGCATATGAACTGGGTTCATGGACCATGGGTGATGGGTCCACATGTAAGAGAGTGAGAGAGGAGCTACGGGAGAAATTGTTGTAATCACGTTGCTCTTATTTATGCTATATACATTTTCTATCAAATAGCAACACAATAGTGTATAAATATTTATTTATCGTTGATCATGCTTACATGCAAAACATTAAACAGTGTGTAGACAACGAAATAGACTATGGGTTGTATAATCTATCTTTTTACCCGTCTGTATGATAAATTCGATACGCTTACAGACGGCCCCTTATTTGTGGGTTGTACATGCCCTAACAGGGATAGGCGGAGAGAATTAACGTTTGCCCCACGCCCTGTCAGCTGCCAACACGGCGTCGGTCTCCCGTCTCCACTGTTGTGGCGGAGTTTCTACGCCCGCCTCCCACCATCTCCGAAGTTGGTCTCCTCAGCCTCAGTAGTTGCACTCACGCCAAACATGCGCCTTGCCTTCGTCCGATGAAGATGACAATGTCGGCGTAGATTGGTTGAGCACGCTTCCCAAAGCAACATTGTAAAAAAAGAACTTTTGGAAAAAAAAAAGTGGTCTCTTTAATTAAGAGTCAAAAGTTAAAAACCAACTTTTAAAAAAAATCTTCATTAAAACAGATAAGTTATTTAACCATACAGCATAAGCGAGCAGTAGGCCGTTGGTAAGGCGCACCTCGATGCTTTTGGTGGTATTGTTTGAAATTAACAAGCCATGTCATTACAACTAAAAAGCCATAAGTCGCCATCCCAAAGCAAGATTACATACCAAAAATCACAACTTTTGAGAAAAGTGGTGTCCGTAGAGTCAAAAGCCAAAACCAACTTTAAAAAAAGCCTCGACTACAAGTAAACGGTAGACGTATCACGTGAGGATGATATTAGAGGGAGACTAAGATTCCTTTATTGTATTGTCTGGAACTGACGAGCCGACAGAGGATGGTAACAGCGTCTTCAAGAGATTAGCCAAATCATTTTCTAAAGATAACTTTGGCTATTATTAAAAGAAAAACGTCTCCAACAGACTCTGTAAATGACTCTCTAAATTTAGTAGCTCTTCATCCCACCTTATTCGCTCTCTACTTTTAGATAGCCTACCTCACTAGCCATCTAGCCTCTTCGTTTTATAGAATCTGTTGGATACTTTTGTCGAATATATTTTAGAGAGTAGCTAAATCAGTATATTTGACTAATCTCTTGGAGATGCTCACTAAGATATTCTTGTTTTAAACATATTTCCAAAACTAGATAGATTAAAACTAGAGTAGACCGCATAGAAATGGAAAAAAGAAAACCAAAATGTCAGACATTTTGGATGCTATCGGATGCACCGGAGTTTTTTTTAAATAATATTATTTTAATAAATAATAGCAGATCTGGGTGTTATTTTCATAAAACTGCAAAACTAGTATCAAGTCGGCTATCCAGTAGTCGATAGGTGTCGGATACCGTGAGAAGGGGTACCCTAAGCAAGATCCAAAGAACGACTGCTTAGATTTCGTAAAGATCGAAACCAGCTAAACGCTGCTGGCCTCGGCCGATTCTCCGACTCGCCCGAGGCCCCATCACTGCATGAACCTCGGCCGATTCTCCGACTCGCCCGAGGCCCCATCACCGGCCTCGGCCGATTCTCCGACTCTTGAGGCCTCATCACCATGAGCCTCGGCCGATTCTCCGATTCGCTTGAGGCCTCATCACCATGGACCTCACCGATTCTCCGATTCGCCCGAGGCCCCCTCACCGCGGGCCTCGGTCGATTCCCCGCCAGAGGCCTCGGCCGAGGCCACCGACCCTCCGTCTCGCGCAAAGCGGGCTCGGCGACACTCGCTACCTCTTCCTTCTCCCGTCCCTCCGGCAAAACGTCGTGTCGCATCAACTCAAGAATCTACGCCCGACAACAGCCGCATGCCCGTACGGTCAAAGCAGAATGGCCGATGGGACGAGAGGCGGGGCTCAAGCGGGTTACCCGCCATCGTACTAACTACACCGCACACATGGTTGACGCCCATGCCTCACTATCTTTAACTCTGCTCCAAGGACAACGCGGCATGGGGAGCCACGTCTGAGCTCAGTGGCCTCGGAATCGATACCAGGGCGATGCTCCCCAAGGCCTCGGCAGTTTTGCTTCACGGGCTCGGCACCGAGGGTCCATGACCACCGAGCCCCCACGATGGCTCGGCCTCGGCACCTCTGAGCCACGGCCCCTCACGACGTCATCACGCGATGACCTGCCGTCCCCGGATCGGGGGGTTACCCGCCATCGTACTAACCACCGTGCACATGGTTGGCGCCCATGCCTCACTATCTCGCCAACTCCTGCTCCAAGGACAACGCGGCATGGGGAGCCACGTCTGGCTCTTGTGGCCTCGGAATCGATTAGGGCGATAACTCCCCCAAGGCCTCGACAGGTTTGCTTCACGGGCTCGGCGGCTGAGGTCCATGACCACCGAGCCCCCACGATGGCTCGGCCTCGCACCTCTGAGCCACGGCCCCTACGACGTCATCATCGCGATGACCTGCCGTCCCCCGGATCAAGCGGGGTTACCCGTCACTATGCTATCCACCGTGCACATGGTTGACACCCATGCCTCATCATGTCGCTGCCAACTCCTGCTCCAAGGACAACGCAGCATGGGGAGCCACGTCTGGCTCTCCGTGGCCTCGGAATCGATACCGGGGCCAATAACTTCCCCCAAGGCCTCGATAGTTTGCTTCACGGGCTCGGCGGCTGAGGGTCCATGACCACCGAGCCCCCACGATGGCTCGGCCTCGGCATCTGCAGAGCCGCTGCTCCCTCGACGTCATTACATCGGCGACCAAAGACGTCGCCCGCCATGTCCCGCATCAAAAAGTCAGACTGAGCCCCACGACGCACAAGACCGAAATCCGACCAAAGATGTCACTTCCGCCACGACAAGGAATTCGACCATACCACAACGATGGCCGACTACGAGGCTCGGACACGCCACCCCATTTACTGAAGCGCTATGTAGCACCACATACGCGGTCCCGGTCCTCCCTTAGAGTATAAAAGGGAGGGATCAGGGCCATTTTTGGGAGAGGCCAGGGAAGGCGAACACGCCGATAGAACCACGCACTCCTCGCCGCTTGGGAACAACGCCTCAAGCAGCCCGCACTACACACTCGCCGAGACACAGGGGCTAGTTCCCTCTCACCTAGCTTGTAACCCCCCTACTACGAGCACTCGGTGCAAGGAATACAAGATCGATCTCTCGGATTTGGGCGTAGGGCCTCGATTGCTCGAACCAAGATAAACCTTGTGTCTCTTTGCGCCACCATCCGGGATTAGGGGCACGCAGCACAAATTCACTCGTTGGTTGAGGGACCCCCGGTTCCAAAACACCGACAATAGGTGACCTATCGGCCATCAATTGTCGGCTGACCGCACTCGTATAGCCAACTGGAGAGCTATCGGTCAAATGACCTACATTGCAGGCAAAAATCACATTGCAGGGTCCTATTGGCAATCAGGTAGCCGACTGGAGAGCTATCGGCAATCTGGGAACCGATACCTGCACTCCGCAGTTTTTTTTCTTCTTTTTCCGCTTCCGTTTGTGTCTCTCGTAATATGTAGCCTGTTCGGTAGCTTGTATCTGGCTTATAAGCCTTGGCTTATCGATCGATAATGATATTTTCTCATCACACCAAATCAGCCAAGTAGATTTCGACCATGGCTTATAAGCCAATCCAAATTAAACGAACAGTAGATGATTCTTCCATTGTTTTTTCTTCCAAATGCCCTCCGTTTCAACACTGCGTCAGCCCCCACCGTGTTGCCTCATGTTGCTGATGAGGTCCACATGGCGGTTGCTACACAATTATCCTAGACCGTCTGTCGGTGGTAAGGTGGTGACACCACTGACGCTGCTGCGCGTGCTACACAGTCGTCGTCTTTGTCGGTTCAAGCCGTCTCGTCATAATCGCTGTTCCTATGCACGGCTCTGCCGGGCTCGTGTTGGTAGTTGCATAATAAGCTGTGGTTCTGTCACAACGCACGAACATGTTTTGCTAGTATAAGAAAAAACGAAAAAAAGTAAAAACGAATGGACGACCGAAATAAAAAAACTGCAAAAGAGAAGAACAGAATAGATGCAACACGTATAAGAATGTAAAAACAAAACAACTAAACTAATTTTGCAAAATTACTAACTAACTAGAGTCTATATCTTCTAACTACGTAAATATTACCTAAGTATCAAAATACCTAAAGTATGTACTAATTTTGATCTAAATCAGTAAAAAGCTGAGCATACAAAAAGACCTATCGGCCCCTCGCATGCCGGTGGTCCTATCGGCTCCAATAGCACTCACATATCGGACATATTAGCAATCCAAATGCCGATTGGAGCCTATCGGCTTCTGGATTGCCGATTAGTTTACTATCGGCTTCTGGATTGCCGATTGGTTTCCAAATTTACAATTTCGCTATTACAGCTTCTAGATCTGCAATTAAATATTAAAATAGTACTATTTTAGCAAAAAAATCATGCACTGGATTCTTTTATTCTTTTATTTATGTGGGCCCCACATGTTCCTATGCTTTGCCGTTGGTCTCGTCAGCCTCAGCCTCAGTAGTTGCACTCTCGCCAAGCTGCTTGGAGCATGCCTTGCCTTCGTCCGATGAAGACGACGGAGACAAGCCTGAGCGGCAGCGGCCGGCAAGACCTCGGCGCCAAACCCTCCGACGACGACGAAGCCTGCGTGGACTGTCTGAGCGCGCTCCCCAACAGCGTCCTGCTCAGCATCCTCGCGGGTCTCGGCGACGCCGCCGCCGCTGGTCGGACCAACGTGCCCTCCAGGCTCCAGCAGCTGACGCTGCTCCCGGAGCTCCGCTTCGTCCCTCTCTCGTCTCATCGCGTCAGCGCTGGCCGGCCACGAAGCGGAGCTCAGGCACCTGAAGATGACCGGTGACGACCCAGGAGGCCAGGACGCGCGCGGCCCCCGAGCCCGTGGCGGCATGGTTCCGCGTCGCCGAGCGCCGCATCTCCGGCAGGATCGTCTTCACCAACCAGGCGCCCGGGACCGGGAGAGACGCCGACGCCGACGCTCACGAGGCGGCGCTCAGCTACCTCAGCGTCCGGACACTGGACGCCGACGCCGAGTCCGTGGCGGCCTGGCTCCCCGCCGTGGCGCGCCGCTTCACCGGCCACCTCAGCTTCACGAACCACGCGCCGGGGAGAGACATCGACGACGACGGCGGCGATGAGGAAAGGGGCTCCCTTGAGCTGCCCTGCCTGGCGAGCGCCACCAGCGTGACCCTCGACCTCGGGTGCGGTCTGGGCCTCGCCGTCGCGCCCGTCGGCGTCTTCGCTCGGCTCACCGACATCTCCCTGACCAGCGTCTTGTTCCGCGGCCCGTGCGCGCTCAGCGACGCCGTCTCATCCCCGCGGTGCCCCTGCCTGGTCAAACTCACGGTCCACGGCGCCCGGGGCCTGGACAACCTCACGATCCGTTCGGATTCTCTCCGGGAGATGACGCTGGACAAGGTGCGCGGCCTGGAACAGCTCGCCGTGGCTTCGCCGGCGCTTGAGTACCTGAGCGTGTTTGGCTGCGCTTCATTTTTTATTGGGTTCAGCCGGTCGCCGACATCTCAGCGCCTGCGCTGAAGGTGCTCAGGTGGGGGGATCTGTTTGATCCGATCTCTGTCCACCTTGGTACCATGAAGCATCTGGAGAGCGTGTGCCCCATCATACTTCTTGTGTATGGATCTCCGGCCATTGCGCCCGATCCCGATCGAGACTGTCTAGGGCTGTTGCGGTGTTTTAAGACCATCCAACATCTCCACCTCACACTAGCCTACCTGCCGGTGAGTTCACTTAGTTATAGTTCCTCTCTTATTTGGAATCATGTTGTCATGGCAAGATTTTTTTTCTCTACTATGTTTATTGATGACTTTACCTGGGCACATATTTGAGAGCTGGACGCTGACATCCATACTAGTTGGATCAATAAACATTTCACATAATTTCCTAATCTAGACAGAACCGACAGAATTAAGAAATTGCCATGAACTACACTATTTATGATAGTTTATATTTAGAAAACAGATTAGCTTTGCTCTGTAATTCAGAGAAGTGCCCAAATGAAAAAAAGAATGGATTTGTCATTGGACTTGTCCAATTCAGGGTGTATACACAAATGTATCGCTGATGATCGTTTTTGAGAAATTCAGCCATGGTATATTCCAGTTTTTTGCTTTGCTCCTGTCCCAGCAACATTTCTTAGCACTCTCAATCTTCACTCTAACTCTCTATTTCCAAACTGATATATGATCTCCTTTTTTCTATGGTGACTTCCTATGGATGCACAGAATATTGATGACACAGAATACTGGATGGAAGACATGACAATTCTCCCAGACATTATGACTTTGGATGTGAGAGTGATCGCAAACGAACACGGTTGTTTCTTATCTTTTGCCATGGAATGCGCTAGGATGATTTTTATTTAAAATCGAAATGTGTACACTGTTGTTTCTTATCTTTTGTCAGATAGTGTTTTGTTCTTTTCTATATATATTTGCCCTTACATGACGCTATCATAATGATCTTTTTATACAAACTAATAACTTCTAACCATCTAGAGCTACTATAGGCTTTTGCTGATGATGAATGCTTAGATGATGAAGATAAAAAACCTGTTATTGCAGGAGGAGTGGTGGTGGAGGACACGGGCGATGATGAGGACCTAGAGGTGGAGGATGAAGATTTTGAATACTCGGAGGAGGAGGAGGAGGAGGATATTGCTGATGAATATGTGGGCTCTTAATACTAGCTATATAGAAAAAAAATTACCTATAGTCTACTGTTAGTTACTTAGCCAACTGTCAAAGCCTTTTGTTTAATGATTTTGTGAGTGCTCATTTGTACCATTATATTGTAATCATACTAAAAAGCAAAACCAATCACGGGATTTAGGGACGCAAGCGGACTTGTCTACAAACCTGCAAAAATGCTTTTTTTGCATGTCTGACGGCGATAATCATTTTCACTATCGGTTTAAACTAGCGGCGATAATCCACTTCATCATAATCGCCCACTTTCACCAACTAAGGGGCGAAACAAGGTCTCCGGACCCGGTAGTGATAAGCCTGATGTAGTAGCCTTAGCGTGACCAGGCAGCTTGTAGTTAGCTTGCTAAGATCATGAGATGGGGTGCAGCATCCTTTTTCTTATCTGACCTCACCATTACCCGAATAAAATGAAAGACAATTTGAACGGACGTGCTAGCGTCCGGACGCTGCCCGCACAGGGAGTGAACGAGCGCCTAACGCGTCGGGCTCGCGAGGGAGCGCACCAGTAGTGGTCCCGCGCCGCCCCTGACGTCATTCACGTCGTCGGCCGCATTCCATGTGCAACACACAATCTACTTTTCAAACATTCAGATGCAACAATTGCAACATACAAAAGAAGACATATGAAACACTTGCAAAAACGTCTTAAAAACATTTGAAAACCATTCCAAACATATGCAACATCCAGATGAAACACTTACAAACATACGTATGAAAACACCTGAAAACACTTGAAACATATGCTTGCAACATGCATGTATATGCAACGTCTAGATCTATTTTGCAACATCCAAACACTTGCAAGTCATCTGGAACAGAAACATTTGGAACATACGTGTATAGTCGTTACAACATGTGCAACATCCCGATCTACTTTTGCAACATCGATATACAACACTTGCAACATACCTCAAAAACATCTGAAACACTTGAACCATACTATTGCAACATGCGCTTTCAGCGTAGCATCTGCGCTGCTTGGACAGGCTCGTCGACGTGGAGCTCGACGCCGGCACAAAGCTCAAAGCCACGGAGTGACGCGGAGGTCACCAGTGTGGAACTTGTCGGTGGCACGGACCTTAGGGGCAGGGGCAGGCGGATGGAGCACAGCCGCGATGAGAGGCGCGAGTCCGGGAGCGAGCTAGCGAGCGCCTGGTGCGTCGGGCTCGCCGTGCGCGGCGCGGGGGCGGCGGGGGCGGCGCGGATGAGGACGGGGTCCATCCCGCGAGGAGAGCGAGCGGGCGACGTGGGCAGAGGCAGCGTGGGCGAGTGCGGGGTCCATCTGAACGGACGGACGCACTATAAGGAGCGTTTCTGCAATTTGAAACATCAAGCTGTCTAGTACTAGTTTCACACCCATGTTAAGCAGTTAAGCGTAAGCAATAAGCATGCACCTGGAACTGGTAAAAGTTGTCTTGTCGTCTTCTTTTTTTTCTTTTCACATCTCCATCTCAGCCTACCTAGCGCAATTAGTAAACCAAACCAGCTGGAAAATAAATCTTGCACTGGATCAAAGTACGGACCTTTTTGGGATAGCTCCAAGTGCTCCAGATCAAAAAAAAAAAAAAAAAAAAAACACCTTTGCTCCACGAATCTAAATCCGTCAAAACTCCAGATCTGAGGGCAAGATCCATGGATTTCTAGAGCAGACTTCTAAAAACTCATGGATTTCTGGAATTGGTCAAAATTATCCACCATCCTGACGCTGTGTGCGCTCTCCCATTCATGGCCGTGTAGGCCCGTCCCCGTCGAGCTCGCCCGGACCAGCCATGGCCGCCGCCATCCGCGTTGGCCCCGCCAGTCTTGCTGGCCTCCGTACGCGCCGGCCCTGTCGCTGGTCGCGCAGGCCCTGCTCGTGCTCGCCTATACTTGCGCCGGCGAGATTGCCCTCGATAATCTGGCAAAGAGAGTTGCATATATTTGATTTGATTTTTTTAGATGTTCTCAGCAGCAGTCATGCTCTGCTGAGAAGATTTTTGCAAGTAACGTGGCGTAGCCCTGCCCCCAAAATGAATCTTACAAATTAATAGTGTTGTACATTTGCAATTTGAGCCAGCAAGGCTACATTGTACACTTTTTTGAAAAAAGGAACATACGTTGAAAATATGCACGTGGTTATTGCGTCATTCTGGCTTGCTTATCACAAATGTGATGCAAGACACAGGCATACAGCAAACAGTCAATGCCAATGACGTCTGAGCACATTTTGAAGCACCAACCATGGGCACAGCAGAACCTCCACGTAAAAAAGATTTGACAGCATAATGTCGGAAAAACTTGATAGTAAATCTTTCAAATCGCAAGTTCAAGTTAAGACATACAGCCCATCATTTCTTGAGTAACTTCTGACACATGATTTTTGGATTCATGAGCCTAAATGCACTGCCGTGGTGTCCCTTAACATGAGATTCACCTCCACCTTGCCCCTCCCAGTCGGATTACCTCTTCCGTTCCAGAATCCCTGTGAGCTCTATCATCGCCAGCATCATTCTTTGTGTTTGTTGCATCACCGTATAAATCCTTTAGCTTTGCCAGGTTGGATGATTCTGGTGCCCTACCAAATGGGCTGGAGCGATGTTTGTCACCGTCAGTTCTGCCACGGACTGGACTCCTGCTCCTGCTCCTGCTCCTGCGGAGCTTGAATGCCTATTTCGGTCAGAATCCCAGTCCCTCTTTTCACGGCCTCGCCTTTTGTCATCCCTATCTGAATAACTCTGGAGATGATGATCCCGGTCTCTGTGATCACGAGCATAACGATCATGCTCCCTATCCTTGTACCTGCCACGATCACGATCTGAACGATCCCTCTCAGAGTCATGATCACGCTCAGAGCTACGAGTTCTGCACTTCCTTGGTGGCGATTTTGCACGGTCACCATCATAACTTCTTTCCTTGTCCTGTTTGGAAGGTAATGTTCTTCGGACTGGGGAAGAATCCCTTGTCGATGCACGGTGTGGAGCACGCTGACCAAATGAGACAGACAAAGAAGCCTTTACGGAAGGAGGCCTTCTAGCAGTATCATTTGATTCAAGCCTATTGGAATCCCCAGTCATTCCTGACTGCTTTATTGGAAGCTTCAACTTCTCAAGATGGCTAGTGACCTGTCGGAGAATTGGGAGGGGCACTCGCGGAAGAAGACTGTCGAAATAGTACTGCAAAAAAATAACAAATATCATTGATGCTTTGTTTTAACATGTGAAAAATAATAATCCTCAGTTGAAACTTATCTAATAGAGTTATATATATATATATATATATATATATATATATATATATATATATATATATATAAAGAAACACTGAGGAATTGCATGAGAGTTACCAACAAATACAGACTGGTAGGTCAAATATGATGGTGATTTAATAAACAATGATTTGTCATAGCAATTACGCTGGCAATTGTACGCACCTCTAAAATTACTACATTACTACAAAAGATTAAACAACTAAACTGTTCAGTGATCAGGATTGCGGGAAAACCATAACAATTTAGTCAAATGTTTTGCAATTGCCTTCAGCAAACTGAATTAACCATCGTTAATGTTATAGTGTATCGGCTGGACCCGTAAATAGAGTGCAAGGACAAATCTGCTCTAGAGTAGCAACAGGAACAGCCGAACAAACTAGAAAATCTTAATTTATGTCACTGCTTACCTAACTAGCGTGGCAATTAAATGTTGAACTATTGGGCCTTGGTTAAATTATAGAAGAATTTAGAGAAATTTGCAATACAACATATCAGAGCATCTGACTGGGAATAAATGTGGATTCAAGCAGCAAAAAAAAAAAAGGTGGTTTTACAGTTAACTATCAAATCAGTATCCCGATTACTCATCTTTTTTTCTTTTTAGTACCATTTCCAAAAAAAACAACTATATCATATTTAACGCATTGGAACCCTCTCGCTTTTCTCTAGAAAAAACTGGACTTATTTCTTTGATAACATATCATATACACCTTCGGCAAAGAATCATGTCAGGATGAAAAAAAAAATCACAAGAAACCAATATGGGCAAAAGCCCCATGGGCATACATGTTTCATGTGATATAATCCTCAGCAGATAAAGAAAAAAGAGTAAATTATCTTGCAAACTAGCAAGACCAAACCATTTCAAATGTTATGAATCCTTCAACGACTTGAAACATAGGTTAGACTAGCGAAAAACAGTGAAAAAAGAAATTTTGAGCAACACATCATGACAAACCTTATACAGTGATGTTACTGGCGGAAGAGATGATGTCTCCTCTTAAAAGCAACTCCACAATTGAAATTTCCCCTCAGTATGCCACATCAACAGGTGAGTGATTCAAGAAAGACTAATTGCATTTAGGTTCAGAAAATAATATGGTTAATGATCTCAGCCCTCGGATGTAGTGGGGTAACTAAGGATACATTGTGATAATAGCTCAGGATACTGTTTTGTTGTATGGAAGAATTGTGAAATAACTTCAAGAGATATACCTGACCAAGGAGGAGATCACGCACATAAACGCCCATTGTAGTCAATTTACCATTTGAGCCGGGGGCAAACTCCTGAAAGAGTAGGACATTAGATTAAAGACATGGACACTGGAAAGAACTGTAAAATGTTTTTTTTTAATTACATCATAAAGAAGCATAAATATTTTACAGCTATAAACATGGGCAAATCAATGTTAGTATAGGCATGAAAAGATATTTTCACAGATAGATCCACATGGCTAAGCACTTAGTTCATACATGTGCACATCGTTGTGTTCCAAAGAAGTAAAAGCTAGGACAGGAATGGTGGATTCCAGAGAACCACCAATTTTGCTTCCAAGATTGCACATTTCAATATATCCTTCAGTACATGTTTCGAATGTCGGTTCTTCTCTGGTTCTAGACTAGAATACAGACATAGGAACCAACTTGTGTACTACCTTTAGTTTTTTATAACTATATCTGATTTTTTCTACAAGCACTGCTCTTAATACATAGCAGGTGCCAATATCA